TGTGGGTATTAGTCAGACTTTTTAAAGAATCCAAGTACCCCCATCTACATGCTTCTTGATCACCATCTGCAACATGCTTCTGGGAAACTTCCAATAATTCTACTGGGCTGATGACTCATTGCTTGCTTTGATAAAGAATCCCGTTGATTTTCTTGCAATGGCAGATTTGCATGCACACAGTTTTTAAAAATGGGACAACTCATAAACCCCCTGATCATCCATGCTAACATGCAAAGGTCACTAGGGTGACCAGGTAGGATTTCAGCAGCTGTAGTTTGCATAACATGTGGAAATTCTCTCTTCTGCACACCTTAAAGGTGCAGGAGCCCTCCTAGATGGAAAATATGGCTCAGAAATTTTCAAAATTAGTCTTTAAAAAGCCACAGAAGTGATTGCATGAAGCTTACCTTTGAAATATTGCATTTCACAATATAGTGCCATAGTTATTTTTGCTTTTCTACAGTTGGGCATACTTCATAGAATCATAAAATTGTAAGTTGGAAGGGACCACGAAAGTCATCTATTCCAACTCCCTGCCATGTTAGAATATTTTGCCCAGTGTGGGGCTCGAACCCACAACCCTGAGATTAAGGGTCTCATGCTCTACCAAGGGAGCTGCTGCTGCTCAGTTTATTTATCTGTACGCATTTATATCCAACTTTTCACCAGGCAGCTCCCCCCCCGTGGCTTACATTCAGCATAATACAATTAAGCCAGGCAATACAGAGGTTGGAAACCTGGGGGGGGGGGCAAATTTGCAAACTGGAGAAACAGCTGGGAACATCATGCACGCACCACACTGCACTCATCATCATCATTTTATTTGTATGCCGCCTTTCCACAGTTAAAACAATGCTCAAGGCGGCTTACAATATGAAAAGATTTACATGGTTACAAAAATAGCAAAGCAGTCATAAAAATAAAACACATCAAAACTACATAACCAAACATAACAATTTCCACATAAAGATACAAAAAATAATATCAATAACAGCAAAACTCCCAACAAAACATTCCCCAAAATAACCCCGTCCTTGCTGGGCAGCAGCAGCAGTTCTTATGAAGCCTGCCAGGCCCCGCCCTAAGCCAGGTGGAGAGAGGCAGGAATGGGGCCCTCAGGTTCCCAGCAGATAAGACCTCCCTCTCACACATTCATCCCCCATTCCCAGCAGCGATGAGCCTCAAAAGCAATGTTTTCTCTTTGTCCCACAAGCCTCATTCTTGGAGAGTGCAGCTGGGGAGGCAAGAGTTAACCCCCACCTCCTACCTGTTAGCTCTAGGAATTGGAGGTCCACATTTCTTGTTGTTTAGTCGTTTAGTTGTGTCCGACTCTTTGTGACCCCATGGACCAGAGCACGCCAGGCACTCCTGTCTTCCACTGCCTCCCGCAGTTTGGTCAAACTCATGCTGGTAGCTTCGAGAACACTGTCCAACCTTCTCGTCCTCTGTCATCCCCTTCTCCTTGTGCCCTCCATCTTTCCCAACATCAGGGTCTTTTCCAGGGAGTCTTTTCTTCTCATGAGGTGGCCAAAGTATTGGAGCTTCAGCTTCACGATCTGTCCTTCCAGTGAGCACTCAGGGCTGATTTCCTTCAGAATGGATAGGTTTGATCTTCTTGCAGTCCATGGGACTCTCAAGAGTCTCCTCCAGCATCATAATTCAAAAGCATCAATTCTTCGGCATCAGCCTTCTTTATGGTCCAGCTCTCACTTCCATACATCACTACTGGGAAAACCATTGCTTTTACTATACGGACCTTTGTTGGTAAGGTGATGTCTCTGCTTTTTAAGATGCTGTCTAGGTTTGTCATTGCTTTTCTCCCAAGGAGAAGGCGTCTTTTAATTTCGTGACTGCTGTCACCATCTACAGTGATCATGGAGCCCAAGAAAGTAAAATCTCTCACTGCCTCCATTTCTTCCCCTTCTATTTGCCAGGAGGTGATGGCACCAGTGGCCATGATCTTCGTTTTTTTGATGTTGAGCTTCAGATCATATTTTGCACTCTCCTCTTAAGAAAAATGGGATGATGGACTAGATGGGCCGTTGGCCTGATCCAGGAGACTCCTCTTAAGTTCTTAGGAAGGTCACCTCTCTCCTGCAGCCATTAGGCCTGGCCGCATTGGAGCCAAGAGGAGTCTTATTTGAAGCTCAGTTGCAATGAGGGTGTTTTCAGCAGGCAGGGTGTGGTCACCGCTGGGGAGGGGGTAATCCCTCCAAAACTCTCTCTCCTCTGTGGTAACTGTACTTGAAAGCAGCTTTCTATACAGGGGTCTTATGTGGTGTGTGTGTTAACTCTCCCCAGTTTTAAACACAACCCTGCACTGCAATTAGGTTGGGAGGGGAGCTTTCTCTTTGTTAAGAAATGGGGAGAGGACCCCACAGTCACCAGGGAAGGTCTCTATGGGTGCCATGTTGACAACCCATGATGTAAGATATAACCAATGTATAACAAAAATGTGTGTTGATGATACATCAAAATGGACTCAAGGACAAGGGAAGGCATTTCACACTGGGGGGGGGGCATGGCACAGAAAAGGCCTTCTCTTGCGCTGCCACCCCACAAGCTTCACAGAGTGGCTAGCAGCACCTTGCCTGCAGAATGTAACACCTGGGCAGGTCTACACATGAGGAAGTGCTCCTTCAGATATCTGAGGCCCACAAGGTTTGGGGGCTTGCGTGTCAACAGAAGCATCTTGAATTAATGTACAACTTTGTTTGTATAACGCAGCAATGCCTTAATGCGCCATCTTTAATTTTAACAAGTTTACCGTTACAGGTCCCATCAGATATGAAGTGCTATTACTATTATGATCATCCCCATTTTACAGATGTACAGCTGTGGCATGATACAGCCGTGTGCCCAGCGTTGCACAAGGATTTGGCAGCTGAGGTACGAAACCGCATCCATATTGTGCAAGTACCCTGAAAGTTTGCTCAGTAGTTTTCCTCCCAGTGGAAGAGGAGTAGGCCAGCATGGCATTAAGGGGATTTAAAATGGAACAAGGCATGGCAAGATCGGGTTTCAGATATGCTTGAAAAATGTCCATCATATTTAGCCACATTTAATTAAGAGAATCTGCAGAAAGCTGGGGTTAGGTCTGTAAATATCCCAGTCCCAAACATGCATTCCTATCTTTCGGCAGTCGTCTTCCTCCTCTTTCCACTTTGGGAAGCTGTTTATGTTGAAAGGGAAGGTTGGCTCCTTCCCAGCCCATCATGTGTATCCACTTGGTTCTCCTTGCAGTGAGCTCACAAGGCTGAATTTGGCACATCTCTTTAATCCTTCTGGTGGAGGCTGATGTCACCAATAAGGGCTTCTTTTTCTGATTTCACTGCAGCACCCGACCATAAGGGACGCGGAGCGCAGAGGAAGAGGAGGCCACGTATTGCCAAATACCTGGAAGGAAAGCAAACTAGCTAGCTAGCAAGAGAGATGCCGGGAACAGAGTTTCATAACACAAATCACAGGCGTTGCAAATGTTCCCCTTTTTGCAGGTTTCCAAGGAAGAAAAACGACCCTCTTCAAGGATCACACTTCAGGATAAGAAGGCTGGAGTGAGCTTTGTTTTCCTTCTCTGAAACTGCTGCTCTTGTGTGCTGCTGTTGTCGTTTTTTTGCTTGCTCATGGTATCGACTGGCATTTCCAGGACAGGGAAGGAAACTGGTCAGTGCAAGAAATGGTATCAGCTCAGGAAGGGGTCAAAGATCTGTTAGGAACAGATCTTCTTCAGTATTTCTGGACAAAGCAGAAAGAGTCCAGTGGTACCTCGGGTTAAGTACTTAATTCGTTTCGGAGGTCTGTACTTAACCTGAAACTGTTCTTAACCTGAAGCACCACTTTAGCTAATCAGGCCTCCTGCTGCTGCCGTGCTGCTGGAGCACGATTTCTGTTCTCATCCTGAAGCAAAGTTCTTAAGCCGAGGTACTATTTCTGGGTTAGCGGAGTCTGTAACTTGAAGCGTATGTAACCCGAGGTACCACTGTACTTCCAAAACCCCCACTTTGACCCTGAGATGCTGCAAAGGGGCACATGGACAGTGGAATTCTGTGACTCCTTGGATCCACATCCTTCTGCAAGCATTTGCTCCTCTGCAAACAGACCCTGGAATCCATAGCTGACAAGGATGTGGAAAGGAAACTCCAGCAGCATAGTTTTTGCAGGGTTCACTATACTTAGCTCTGCCTCCTGCAAAGTGCTGCCTGCACACTTTGGCCCCAAAAGCGATATCCTGGCCCATCACGTACAAACCCCTTATGATATAAAGCAGCTCTTGCTTTTCAGACATTTTCACACAGAACCCTGCTGGGAGCAAACCACAGTGGCTGATGCAGCTTATTGCAAGACACCCTTCTCACTCCCTCTGGTTTCACATGCAAAGTTGCTATGATAAATGTTTTTAAAACACCCACCCGTCCACCCCTAAGTGAGGGAAACTGCAGAGTGCTTGTGCCTTTCCTATGGAGGAAGTTCTTAAACAAGGAGCACCGTCCTCCCCCACCTTCCGTGATTTCCAATACAGTGGACGCTTGGGTTGCAAATGTGATCCGTGCAGGATGCACGTTCGCAACCCACAGTGGTGCATCTGTGCATGTGCGGGTTGCGATTCGGCGCTTCTGCATATGCGCAAAGAGCGGTTTAGCACTTCTGCTCATGCGCAACCGCCGTAACCCATTCCGGTACTTCTGGAACCGGCAGTCCGTAACCCGAAGAAACGCAACCTGAAGGGTCTGTAGCCTGAGGTATGACTGTAATTGTTAACACCCTCATTGATTTCTTAGGTTCAAAGTAGAATTCTAGAGTCACAGAATTCGAAAGGACCTCAAGGATCGCCTAGCTCCAGGGTGGAGTGACCTTTTCTCAGCCGGGGGCCACATTTCCTTCTGTGCAACCTTCCAAGGGCCAGGTGACAGTGGCAGGTGGAGCCAGAGGCAAAAGTGGGCGGATGTATGGATTTTACCTCTGTACAGCTAGCTACCTTCTACACCAGACTTCCTCCACCTCAGCCCTCCAGACGTTTTTGGCCTACAACTCCCATGATCCCTAGCTAGCAAGACCAGTGGTCAGGGATGATGGGAATTGTAGTCTCAAAAACATCTGGAGGGCCAAGTTTGAGGAAGCCTGTTCTACACAAACTCAAACGCCCGCTCTGTCCTCCATCTAGACAAGGAAGAGGCATTGTCAGAATTCAAAGACACATTCCAGCGAAAGCCCCCAGGTTGTGAATCAGGACCAGTTAGTGGCCTGGGGGAAAGTGCTGAGGTTCCGTACCCCTGATGTGGCCCACCTCTCTGTTCACTCCTGAATAAGCCCAATTGTCCATCTAGTCCAGCATCCCATGGCAAAAGGAAATCCTCCTTAACGCTTACTTGAAATCTCCTTGTAATTCTAACTTGATTGGTTGTAGCCCGACCCTCTGGAGCAACAGGAAACAAATTTGCTCTGTCATCTATGTGTGAACCCTACAAATATTTGACTATGGTTATCATATTGCCTCTTCATCGTGTTTTCTCCAAGCTGTCAAATACATCCAATTCCTTTGACCTTTACTTGAGATCCTACAAGGAAAGTTACTTTAACAATGCAGGCACTGCTGTAAATTAGAGAAAATGAAACTCCTCCTCCGATTTGTGTTTGAATTTTGTCCATCTACGTCATGCATCTAAAAGCTGATCACCTAAACTACCCCATATGCTAATGATGATAAAAATAATAATATTGGAAATAAACACCAGGAAAGCAAAGGATTTATTTTGAGCAAGAAAACTGCTAGCCTTTCTGGTTTTAAGGAATTTTGACCCCAACAACTGTACCAAACTAATTCAATTACTGATGGCTCACACAACTCCTAAATGTTTATATATATATATAAATATATATGGAAACGCTTTTTTAAAGGGATCTGTGGTGGTGAGTATCTTTTTCCTTCCGTGAATTCCATGCCACCTACCGGGAAAAAAAAATCTTAAAACTTGCAAGTTTCCACCGCAGAGTGCTCTGCAGCCTTTGAATGTTACCTTTCCCTGGAAGCCTCAGTAACCACGCATAGCACAGATTAAATCAAGGCGAGTACAAAGCTCCGGGCTGTATCGTTTCCTGGGGGCGGGGTGGGGGGAAGAGAGAGAGGAGGGAGGAAGGAACATTACTCCGAAAACGCACATAAATTCGCTTTCTAAAGATCCATACTACAGATCACTCAGGGGCTCTGCTCACGTTAAGAACACTCTGCCCCCTTTTAAACAAATATACACCTTTGAACAATATCACCGAACTTTAATGGGCGTGTGCGCGCTTGTAGTTTATATTAACTCTGGGTTTGAGTTTTCCTTCTTCCACTGTTTTTTCCCCAGGACACTGACCTACCCTTTAATTGTTTGGTGATAGGCATGTAAGGGGGAGGGGCGTTACTTGTTTATTGGAACAGCACAGTTTAAAAAAAAAAATCAACCCTGGCGAACGGTTTCTAGTCCCCCCTAAGGATGTATCCAAACAGGCAGCCAATCAGCGCTTACACAGCTTTTTCAGCTCGTCTTTTTTAAAGGGACAGTAGCAAACGGGTTATATCATATTTAAAGCGAAAGGCACCGACATTTGCGGGGTGGGGGGAAGCTGGAAAAAGCTCTCCCTCCCAGTTTCTCAGGAGGTTCTAACTTTAGGCTTCAGGAGAGAAACGGACCGCAAATGTGGGTCTTTAGCTGTTAACAGGGATGGGGAGATGGTGGCGAGTTATTGTTTGAAGGATACAAGGCGCCTTTTCCTGGATCATACATAGCCCCCAGGCATCTCTGAGGTTTTTCTTCGGGGTACGGGTATCATTTTAAAACCCGTGTTTTAAAGATCTCCTAAACGGTGCTCCCTCTCCAAAACTTCCTCAAACCTCCACCCAATTCTCTGTGTCTCTCCCCCCCCTTAAAAAAATAAATCTGGGGAGGTCCCGCTCCCTCCGTTTTGAGGCATTTTGAATAGGTCCTTATGTTAGGGCCATCCTGGTGTAAGATAACATTTTTTAAAAAGCGGTTTTAGTCCGGTTTCTGCAAAGGTGGGTAAGACACGACACCCCCTTCTCTGCAAGGAGAAACAAAAATAGCCTCGAGCGGACCAAAGGAGCTGGGCGGGAGGGTGGGTGGAAGAGATGGGGAACCGGAGGAGTATGCAAAGGTGGTCCAACCACGCCGCTCCTGTTCCTTTTTACTAGGACTGGGAGTTAAGTCCCGTTGAGCTCCGTACGGCTTACTTGCTAATAAAGGTGTTTAGAAGCGGGGTACAAAAGGTGAATGAATGAATGGACCCCTGGCCATCGGGAGGCCCCGTTTTTAAGATTCCATTGGCGAAGCCGAGATCCCACTGCAAACCACAGATTCGCGCTTCCTTGGGAGTAAGCCCCACTGAGCAAGGTGGGAGTTACTTCTGAGTAAGTAGCACGCCTCGAGATGGGGGGGATGCGCCTCTCACTTTGCGCACTTCTGTGCTGCGATCCGCAAGTCCCAACTGAGGAACACACACACACAGTCTAATGTATTCGGGAGCTGAAGGGGCTTGAGGATCGCAGCTTCAGCCTGGGCAGCGCTATATGAAAGGTAATGGAGGCGGGAGGTCGGGAGGAAGAGGAAGGAGGAGAAACTGGGGCGGCCGAGCGCAAAGAGGATGGAGGTAGAAGCAAAGGGCAGGAGTAGGGCTCGGAGAGGGAGCGGGGAAAGGGAGCGAGCGAGGCAGGTGCAGCCACGGGTGCAAAATGGGGCGCCGAGGGGGCTGCTGCCTGGTGCGGCGCGGGATCGTGCTGTAGCGGGTGCAAACGACGCGCGGGGAGGCTGGGGCGAGGAGTGAGATCAGGGCGGCGCATGTGGGAAAGGTGAATGGTGCGAGCGAGACAGCGGGAGGGCGTCTGGTGGGGAGGCTGGGATTAGGGGAGGGTACCTGGGTCGAGGAGGGAGCCGGGTAAGGAAGGCAGCTCAGCCCCTCGGCAGCGGCAGGAGGAGGAGGCGGAGCCGCGGAGGCCCTCCCCCCAGCCAAGGGGACCCTTTAGGAAGCAGCCGGAGCGCGGTTCTCTCCGCCTCGTCCTGCCCGGCAGCATCTCCCCCGGTGCCACCTTAAACTCGCCGTTCGGGGGCGGAGCAACCCTTCCCCCCGCAGGCCGCCGATTGGCCGGGGAATGTATCCATTGTGGAACGTTGACGCCCGCCGCGTTCCATCCCTAGTGTAGCCACGTTCGGTTGAGCCGGGGGCAGCCGCGGTGGCGGCAGCAGCAGCAGCAACAGCAGCAGGAGCAGCTGAGGAAGGAGCCGGAGCCGCGGAGAGGGGCAGGGCGATGGGGTCGAGGCCGGGGCTGGGGCTTTGACAGCTGAAACCGGGGCGATCGGCGCGGCGCCAGCGGCGGAGCCTGGGCGAGCCACAGCTGAGGGAAGGCGCGAGGCTTCGGAGACCGAACGGCAGCGGAGAGATCCAGGCGGCGGCGGCGGCGGCTTCGGTTTCGCCTCTTTCTTGCTGCGGACCATGTTCGCCAAAGGCAAAGGCTCGGCGGTGCCCTCGGATGGGCAGGCTCGGGAAAAGTAAGCGCCCAGGCACCGGAGGGGACTCCCGGGAGCAGCCGCGCATGGTTTCCTCCGACAGGCGTTCTCGCCGTCCCTTCATTGTCTTCGGGGAGCTCGGGCATCTGGAGGGGACGGGCATGGAGGCTGCGATCCAGGGGTGGAAGCGGGGTGGTCGTGGCGGGGAAAGGATCTCTCCCTACCGCGGTCCCGCCGCTTCGTGGTGGAAGGGAGAGCGGAGGGTGGCGGATCGGAAAGCACGATGGAAGAACGCATGCACCGCGTCCTTTTGTCTGAAGTGTCTGTCCGTCTGTGCAAGTGGAAGGGGTGAAGGGCTTTGTCCAGGCGATGAGCGATGGGTAGGCTTCCCCTTGGCCCTCCCACTTCGCTTCTAGAGTTTGCAAGTTTGGGCAAATCGGGGGGTTGGGTAGAAGAGGATTTCGGGGTGGGGGGACCCTCTTAGACCCAGCTGGCCTTCCCCCAAATCTGTCCAGGCACTAGTGGAGAAAGACCTCAAACCCCCCTCCCCACACCTCGCTTTGGGTTCCTGGAAGCTTTAATGAATGGCTGGGGGATGCTGCTGGCTGCCTTGCAAATGGGGCATGTGCCTGCAGAAGTTGCATTTTGTTTCCTGCCCTGAGCTAGTATCAACTTATCTCTGAGGTGGGATGGGGGCTGCGCGGGGCGGGAAGGAGAGCGCTCCTTGCTCTCTGCACTGGAGGCAGGAAGGAAGTGATATTTCTTCACTGCCCTGCTTTAAACCTGGGTTCATCCCCACTGAAGTGAGAGGAAGCTCAGCGTGGAAGTGGGACAATCCTATAAAGTCTTGTTCGGCACAGTGGCCGCTTGCTCTTTTTCTACCACTTTTTCTTTTCTTCCGTCCTTTTGCAGGTTAGCTTTGTATGTGTATGAATACTTGCTGCATGTAGGAGCACAGAAATCAGCACAGACCTTTTTATCAGAGGTGAGTGGCTCTGTTTACTTTTGACCCTCTTCCCTCACCCCTTGTTTTAGATGGCCTTTGTTTTCAGAAGCAGGCACTGTAGCCTCCATTTTGAATTTTTTATCACCTTTTGCCATTTATTGCTAGTTGGGCCTCAGAGGCTGCTTGGGGAAAGGGGAGGTGAAGTGGGGGCTGGGGGCAGAGGAAGCATTTTTTTCTCCCAGTATCTAACCTCTTTGCACCCTTTGCTGTTTACAGATCCGATGGGAAAAAAACATCACACTAGGAGAACCTCCTGGGTTTTTACATTCGTGGTGGTGGTAAGTGGGCTGCTGCTTTCTCTTCCCCAAAATAGAAACTCCTATGCTTAACTGACTGTAAGTGGGAAAGAATGTCCCAGGCAAAAGTTTTGAGTGATCTTGTGTTCCTGCGTTGAGAAATAGACATAGTTGAACTGTGAGCTCCTCTCTTCATCCTAGTTGTGATTTAGTTCAGCAAGTGTTGGAGAAAAAGGTACTGAAGAAAGTCTTGATCAGTTGTTGTAACTGTTTCCAAGTCATACAAAATAGATGTTGCTTGAGCTTTCCTTTATCATTAAACAAGGCATAAGGGGGTCTAGCTGTAGCCTTTACTTCCTTATGTATGGTGATTCAGAGTACAGCCATAGGACAGTTATGTGTTGCTGTTTGTAAGAAAATATATGGAGTACTTCTGCAAGTTACACCTATTGCTCTGTTTCTTCCCCCACTCTTGTCATGATGCTGAGGTGTAAATGTGTGACAGGGTAGATCAGGCGCTGATATTTTTTATAAATGTATTTGCTTTCTCCTGAAACGTTTCCTTGGGAAGAGCTTTATTAGTCTTGCAAATAGATTTCTAGTTTTACTTAAAAAGTTTCAAAGAAACACTGGCACTTTCCCCTAGCTTCTGCACAGAGTTACTGATCAATGCTGCTTGCTATGAGGTTGTCTCTCCCTTGTGAATTTATCTCAGAGATGCAGATAGTCCAGTGGGCAGCTTCAACTTGACTGGAGCAGTTGTGCAATTGGTACTGTGATGCTGGGTGATAGAAACATTTCTTACAACCCGGTTCCGAAGGGCAATTCTTGACAGTAAACCCCATTGATACCATTTGCATGTGATGAAGTTACTATGCGCCTGGGCAGTTTGCTAGTAATGCAGAACAGGATGCTTTCAACATGACCATATGTGAGACAGGCTTGACACCCAAAGATGGAGAGTTGAGGGACACATGTTGCTTAGGTAAGCGGTGCAGTTTTTGGATTAGGCTTGTGGGTTGGTTTGTAGTTTATTTGAGTAGAAGAGGTTGAGGTAGCGCATGGAGTTGAAGGCTGCTTACTTCTGAACCTGTAGAGCAGGAGAGCTAAAAGGTTTTTTATTTCTCTTTCTAGTGTGTAGTTAGCAGAAGCATTTTTTTTTTGTCAGAACATTCTCTGTCAGCTGGCCCAGGTTAATGCTGTTTGGATTGTTTCCCAGTCTGTTACAGTGCTTGGGGTTTGTGCATAGTGTCAGGCGTCAGGCTATGCAGTCAGTACTGGTCAGAAAAAGTTGAGAAGAAAAATGTTAGCACCTGGAGTCTTTGATACTTGAAAAACAACCACCGTGCAGGAGCGCTTTGGCCATTTTCTGACACCCCACATTATTTACCTGAATGCCTGGGGAGACTGAAATTGTTCATTTAAAAAAAAAAGGTTTTTATTAAAATATTTTTACGGACAACAACATAACATCTGTTTTCAGTTCATAGAGTCCTTTCTACATGTTAGTTACATTCGATGTGAGACATTGCTGTCAATATGCATTGTGAGGTTATGGGGGAGAGGGGACAGAAAGAAAAGGGTGTGTGTGTTTTTTATTCTATTCCACTCTTCCTCTAAAGAGCTCAAGGTAGTGTATGTGGTTGTCCCATTTCCCCCATGTGTTTCTCACAAGGACCCAGAGAGGCAGGTTAGGCTGAGAGCCAGTGAGTGGCCCAAGGTCACCCAGTGAGCTTTATGATGGTAGTGGAGATTTTAAACCTGGGTCTCCTCATGACACTCTGCCCACTACACGGCACTAGATTAGTCAGCAATTGTATAAGTGACTGCAGCTAACATGGGGAGGACAGTGAGTTTTATTATCTAAGGGGCTTCCATTATGGCGGTGCTTATATATGTGCAACATCCAAGACAGAAGATGAAATCAATGTTGTATTGACAGTATGGCATTTAATGTCAAACTGAAACAGCTCTAATGGATTGCACTCTGGTTTGGAAGATGGCTTCATATGTAGAGGGAGATGTGTTCGGGTTTAATGGACCAGCACAACAGCCGGAATTGGACGCATTCGGTTCTAGCGAGAGGGCGATTAAAAGTGCTGTTGAATGTGCAGTAAGTGTGTAAGAGGTCCAAAAGTAAAAGTTCAGCCTGAGCATAGAGGGGAAACAGCAGGATGGGCTAGCCCTGGCAAGATGAGCAAAAGCGAATGGTTGCGGAAAGAAATCTCTTTAAACAAAAGAGTGAGTCTAAATATAGGGAGCTTGAATGCGCCAGAGTTAGGAACACAGGTAGTTGTCTTATAGTGAGTCGGACCATTGGCCCATCTCTTCCAGTGTTCCAGAGTTACTAACTGTGATTCTCCAAGTTTTTGGAGGGGGGCATTCCCAGTCCTAATTAGAGGTGTCAGGAATTGAACCCAGAACATTCCTCAAGCAAAGCAGATGCTCTGCTAATGAGCCACGGACCTTCCCCAAGTTCAGCTTGTCTTTGGACACTTTCATGGGAATCTGCACATTAATAACCTTTGCATCCCCAAATGCACATCTTGCTTGTCTCTAGTTGGATGTTGTTGGAGGTGGAAGTCTCAAGTGGAACAAAGGTGATATACTGAATGCTTCTCGGCTAAAGATAGATGCTCCTCGCTGCTGAACTGTTGGCATGGCCAGACTTCATACCAAACACTGTATGTGGTGTTGTTTATTGTACAGGTTCATAGTCATTGTCTCCTCTTTCTCTTTCTCTCTTTCCTTTGCCCTGCAGTGTATTTTGGGACCTTTACTGTGCAGCTCCGGAAAGGCGAGATACTTGCGAACACTCGAGTGAAGCAAAAGCCTTTCATGATTATGTGAGTAACTTAATTTTTAATCCTTTTGACTAGAAACTCATGGGAATACGGCACACCGGAGCAAATGGGGAGAAAAGGGTGTTGCCACTGCTGCCATTCTGACTTGGTTGAATAATATTTTATAAAGTCACAGCTATGTGAATCTAGTTCAGATACTTATCTTGAGTACTTTAAGGTGGTGCATATTGATCTAGTTACATCGCCATGCATCTTCCTAGTGGCACGCAGGATAGGCAGGGTGAAGGAGAGATGCAGTGGCGATATTTATCATGTTGAAATCTCATTTGCAAACTTTCTGACATAAGTGAGTGGCTGTATTTGAATGTGGAATGCTCTTTCTCCAGGAGGAGAATGTCTCTGAAAGCTCATCGGGGCCTGTTTGTATTTATGAATCTTTCGTAAGGTTGCTGTGCAGGGCAATCCTGTGTGTGTTTACCTGGAAGTAAGCCCCACTTACTCCCAGGTAAGTGGGCCTAGAACTGTAGCCTTCGAGAGCCAATGGACTCGGTTCAAAATATCAATGCAAAGGTTTTCCCCTTAAGACTGCAATGCAGACTTTATTATTTCTTTAATTTTGAATTTTTGTATGGGCTGCGGGTACAAAATTGACTGTAAGAGGAAGGGTGAGCTATTGTATGCAGGGTTTGAATCGAGGTGGAGAATCTTGCATTTTTGTTTTCCGGTGTGATATTGATTACCCCCAAATAAATAGCAGGTGTCTGCGATGCGAGCATCTGGAGTTTGCTTTGTTACGGTGGGGGGGGGATGTTGTGAGAGTAACTATAGAGCTACAAGCCCCACAGAGGATAACGTTAGAAGCTGTTTCTAGTGACCCTATCCTGTTAGAGGGGACATTGCCCCAAGCTAACTGTTCTGGATAAACTTTGACTTGTCAGCTTCTACCTATGATGGCAGAGCATGGATTCCCAGGAGGATGTAGATTTTGATAGTTCATAAAAGGAAAGGCATCTTGTCCTTTTTCTTTTGTAACACACAGACTGAAGGATTTGTAAGGAGATGAGTTTCAGTGGAGAAAAAGCAAGCTGCCGAATGTTGTCCATGTTTCCATTGAGCTGAGCCTCAAAATAATATGCAGGGTGAGAAGCTGTGGTCTATGGGGAAAGTGAGTCGGAAGTGAGCAGTCTGGTTAAAAAGTATTTACTTGGAAAGAGACCCCATTGGTTTTAATCAATTTCTCACATGATTCGTAAGTTAAGATCATTAGGGAGCTGCTCCCTCCATAGCCTTCTGCCTCTCAGTTAACAGCTATAGTGTTGCCTGAATTATATGGTTCCTTCTCAGACCAGCTCCCTGGGAAAAAGGGTTCACTAACACAGGGAAGAGTGGGATAATTCATCCATTGCTTATCTCTCTGGATGTTGCTGGAGCAGGGTGAGACCTGACAAAATAAATATGGTTTCAGAGTTGTTCTGGTAACATATGAACTGGGTCCCTGGTTTCTGTACTGAGGATCACAAACTCCAGGACAATAGCTCTTCTTGATATCTAAAGCAGCTTTTAGTAAAAGGTTTGAGAGCTTACTGTAGGCAGACTTCCTAGGCTAGAAGAAAACTTTGAAAATGTGCATTGCTCTGTGTTTATCATGGACATTCTTCTTCTGCAGAACCAACTTTTGAAAGGAGAGTTTCATATTAAATCCACAACCTACATTTTTAATTTTATCTCCTCCTGATGCAGCCATACCAGGAATATAGAACTATGTTTCCCAGAAAATTGGCAGATGGCTGGGCATTGATCTGGTTTTGTGTATTCGATTTGACCAAGTCCCCAAAGAGATCCTTTTGCCTAATGATGAACAATCTTTAGAAGATGTTTTCCTGACTTGTTGATGGAAAGCACTTGCTTTTGCGTGAAGAAGAGTAGGCTATGACAGCATGAATTAGCAGGAAACTGTCTGTCTTGAAAGAAAAAAGCAAGGGAGAGGGGCACAAAAAACTTTAGCCCTAGTCTCTGTGGCTGGTTTCATTGTAACTCTGTGCCCTGATTTGTAGCCTTCCCACAGAAAAGCAGTTGTACTTAAAGGGGAATAAAATAATCTGGCATTTTTATTTATTTATTGGCCTGGTTTGTTTTCGACAAATGTTCTCTCCCCAAACAGTTTGCACCAATAAAAATAAAAAATAATGAGGAACAGGCTCTTACAAACTAAAAAGACAGGACACATAAGGGAAGGAGAGTGGAGAAGAAAAAAGATAAACGAGGAAGATCAGCTGGACCGTGCCAGAGGATAGTTGTGAGCTGTAAGCAGGTGGATGCATCTACCTAGTTGTGGCCGGGCTGATCTTCCCTTGATGCTCTCGCTCTTAGCCCTCTGGCTGGTAGCAGAAGCCAGATGGTTTCTTCCCAAATACTCTGGGATAGCTCAGTTGGTGGAGCATGAGACTCTTAATCTCAGGGTTGTGGGTTCAAGCCCCGCATTTGGCAAAAGACTCCGGCATTGCAGGGGTTGGGCTGGATGACCCTCGTGGTCCCTTCCAAGTCTATGATTCTATGAATTCTACAGTCCTAGGGAACTTAACAGTTGGAGCAGAGCATTTCTGGCAGAAGAGGGCTGGGAAGCAAACTCCCTGCGCCTGCTTCTTCTCAGACCAATGGTTGGAGCCTGGCCCTGGTGTTGCTCTGGGGAGGGGGGAAGAGGGTGCAAACTCTCTGCTTTCTTGTACAATCCGTGGGCAACTAGACTGCAGTTTAGGGGCATAGTTGGAGAGTAGAAGCTCAGCCCCAGCACTGTTGATCCCAGTGGAAGTAGATTTCCTCCTCCTTCAATCAAAGTTAAGCCCTCTTAAGAGTAGTGAGAAATAAATGCCATTCACCTGAATGGGAAGAAGTACTCTGCTGCGATAAGGAATATGGCTCAGTTGGTGGCAAAAAACCTGACTTTGTCCCTAACCCTGGGTCTGTGTTGCTTCCATCTTAACAGTGTGCTCAGAAGCAGTAGTTGAATTTGCTTTTGTGGCAGAAACTTAAGAGGCCATGTTGTGCTATGGGGAGGAGCCCCGTATCCCTGCAGTTTGGTGGATGGGAAAGGAGTTTGCCCCTACTTGCTCCTCATTGGTAGCTCTCAAATAGGACTGTCACCGTGAAAACTGAGGCAGAGCACGCAGCATCCCAGTTAGAGGTGGCCTTGCCATATTGCTTAGTGTGTGGCAAGTTCGCCACAAGACGCTGTTTAGATTTCGGCCTGCAAGTGTCAAGCCTGTTTCTGATTATTCTTGAAGTGTGTCTGTATTGTTTTGAGCCTCACTTCTAAAGGAATAGAACTTCCACTGACACCAGTGGGGACTTAAGCATGCGGGTGGATACATTCAGAATTAGGATCTTCGTCACTACACGTAGTGACAAACCAGTCGCTGGATTTGCCATTTTGGATTGCTGGTTCTTTCTTTACTTCTTCTCATGTCTCTTTTTTGGTTGGGAAGTTGCTTCTGAGTTCAGGTTGTCCCCTATGAAATGTGGCTTAACGTAGTTTTGTAATGATGTTGGAATGCCCTCTGTAGGTCTTGGATGCAAAGCATAAGGTGTGGAGGGATACTGCTTGCATTCAAGATATAGTACTGCTACATTAGCAGCAGCCTTATAATAGTGTCTGAGGATTTACGGTATTTAGAGAAATTAATCTTTTTTAGCTGGGTAATAATTCTAATAATAGGCATGAGTGCATTAGATGATTCGCATAAACTTCTTTAATACATGTTGCTTTAAGCTTACAGCAAATAGACGCAATCCTGATTGTTTTGTTTTGTTTTGAAAAATCTTAGTGTAATACAGTTTCGTAACACTCCTGAGTAGTACTTTACCTTTTTAGTTTTATGTATTATGAAGACCAAAAAGACGTTCTGTTCCTCCCCCCCAGCTCCCCCCTTCTTTTCATTATACTCATTATTTGTTGGTTTTAAAGTAGTTGACTAATCTGTATTGTCATGACCATGTTGCTTTTAATCATAGATGTATCAAGCTTATAAACGTAGTCGTCCCCCCCCCCGAAATCTGTAGCTCACTTCCTATAATGAACTTAGCAAGCCATCATGGATGAGATATTGGAGCGTGTTGTGGAGACAAAAAGGACAATTTCTCATGTATGGGAGGGGTTTGAAGAGGATTCATTGGACTGAGGCTATTAAAGAACATTGAACTAGTTTCCCCCTTTTCCTAATCTTCTAAATTACTGCCCCTGCGCAGAACATCTGGCGCTGAAGTTGGACTGAGTATCAAACATGGAAGGGTCTTGCCTGAGAAATCTTGCTGATCAGTTTGCTTGTTGGCCTTGTTATATGTAGCCAGGATGTGTTCCCACCTTCTTCTTCTAAGCCTCTGCCTCCATGTAACATAGTTTAAACGACAAGCCTTCTTAACAGCTAATGAATGAACGGTGACTCATTCAGAAAGGCTCCCAACCAGACTACAGGATAGTTGGCTGCATGATTTGGATTGACACAGTATGGAGGTTTTAATGGAGACTCCAGGAAGAACATGCAGGATTGCGAGAACCTCTTAATAGCTACTGCTGTTTACGTTCTAAAAAAGATTTTCACTCGGGGGGCCTGTGCAAATCATGATCAGAATGGACAGATGACTAATGTGGTAGATGGAGTAAAAATAAACTGCTATTCTACGGTGCCGGTATGATTGGTAAAAATTCTCTTACGCTCTTGATGGCTTTTTTATATATATAGATGTGCATGACTTGGATGCACGTATTTCGTGGATTCCTTTATTCTCTGCACCAGTAGAGACTCTGTACTGAGGTTGATCTTTCGTCTTGTGTCACAGGCCTGAAAGCAAAAATATTATCTTAAAATTCGGGAGAGTGCCTAACCTATAGTGTATAAAAGACAGTATTCTGTGCTTGGAGAAATGCATTTAAAAGCCTGGCATCATTTCCTTTGCATGCTTCTTTCCCATTGTTTATGGTTGAGGTGTGGCTACTTGGACGTATAAGAAGCAAATCTCTCCAGATCAGTAGGCTTGGCGAATACATGCTTCAGAGAATGGGAGACCATGCTTCATTAGCAGCCTGTATAACAGCACTTCCATGCTGTGTAACTTCCATTTCATTTCCCAATATAACTATATGATAATAGAAGCAGCAGGAGCAACAAGCAATTTCCCCAAAGAACATTTTTAATATTAAAAACAGCAAAAAGTGTTCGTTCTTCTTGGTTTTTCTGTGTCTTAATCGATTCATAAGAGTTCTGAGACGGTTGACCTGTACTGACTGCAAAAGGAATTCTTGAGATTGGGACGCTGTGTGCTGAATTCTTGCTAGCAGCAATGTAGAATGGTACTATGTAGCCCCCGTACCAAGGGGATGGGTGAATAATCCTTACGCTTTGGAGACTGCACAAATGCTCCTCTTTCACATTTCCCTGTGAGCTGAACACCAAGGTATTTCTTTTTCCTGCAAATCACAAAATTTGCTCACCACAGGGGAGCCTGGGACCAATTTGGGGGCAGAAAGCAATTAATGCTGTGAAGATAGGACAATGGCAAGATAGGTACATTTGAAGGGGATTTTTGTGGGATGAGGAAAGGGGGCTATATCTTGTCCGGTTTGTGCCATTGTTCCACTTCTGTAAGAGAAAGTCCCAGGAAAACTTGTCTTTCTTGGCTGACTTTGTGCAGAATTACGTTAATTTATGTTTTTCATTGCAACATATTTTTGCGGAAGCACGCGTTAAAGTCACTCGTTAAAACTTGAGCTAATTTGAAGCTGTGTAAACTGGTACAAAGTTGACTTTAAAACAGAAAACAGCTTATTAATTTTATACACTTGGTTACATTTCTCCCCAAGTCTTGGGGTAGAGTAGAAATTTGATAAAACTGTGGTGCTTTTAATGTGGTGGTTCAGTGGTTTGAAATTTGAAAAAAAGAAAAAAGAAATGTCTAGGGGAAAGGAGAGAAGAGAAATCCAAAATGTGCTTCCAATTTCAGTGTTTCTGTGCGTTTCCAAACGAAAATGTTATACTCTCTCTAGAGGTTTACTGCTGTTGGCACGCTTGCCTTTATCTTGCTTCTAGGCAAAGCCCCTCCGTAGGCGCACTCATATTACATTGTGGCGGTGTTGCCAGACACTCTTGTTGCAGGTTTTATTGTGCATCTTCTGAGCTGGTGAGCTACAAAGGGATTGTACAGCATGACAGGGAATTTCAACCACCGCGTTATCTTGGAATTGGCCGATTGATGATTGCAGTTCAGCGTTTCAACACTGTGAAAGCCAATACAATTTGAGTTAGCTGTGATGACTGCCAGTTTAAATACCGCAGTGAATTTCTGTCAAATAGCTAATACACAGAATGGGGAATTGCAGAAAACTTGATCACTAGAACCAATTTAGTCGATTTTGGCCTCCAGCTACAGAAAATGAACTTAAATCTAGTTGACTGTCGCTACATACTTTTTGTGGCATTATTCTGTTTGCACATGCTCCTCTGAGTGTAACTTCAAGGGAGAGTGCAAAAATTCAGAAACTGTTTTCAACACCCCCCCCCCCCATTTTTTAAGTTGTCAACCGGCTGCTCCCTTGATAATATTAGTCCTTTGGAACCGCTCCCTAAAAACTTTAACATAATATTTTCAAAATTAAATATTGTAAGAATTACATTTTTTAAAGTTTTATACAGGGCATATTTTGGTCCGGCAGTTGTAGGATATGCTATCTGTTTGCTCTAGCAGAAACAACTCCTCTCTTTAAAAAAATTCTAGACTTCTTTTCTCTCTCTTCTTTAAATACCTGCTAACTGTGTGTTGTGTCAAACAGTTAATTATAATCTAAATAATTCTTTGCTTCATTTGTGCAAAAGCAGTAGGTGTAACATAAATATTTTTTTCTACATGACTTAACCTTAATTGCTGGGAGAATGTGACAAGAATCCATTTCTTCAAAGAGGTCCTTCTCCCTTGTGACGTGAAGCCCATGTTCATTTTCAGATTCTCACAGCAGCCACAACTGTGGAGATCTGTTCCATTAGAAAGTGGCTTGGCAATCCTGACAACTAACAGGTATTCATTTCTTTTACCAAGAGCAGAAGGGTTTCAACATACAGTATATTCTGCTTTGCTGGAGCATAATCTTACTTCAACATACCTGTATTATTTCTCATCGTTGTCAGCCTCCTCGTGGTCCACTAATAGCTCTTACATTACTTTTTAAACTGAGATTTGCACCCTTCTCCATGGCTTGATGTATGAGCTAGTTTTTTGAAAGATAAAACATTTGGTGCATAACTGAGGATGTTGGCTTGGGACTCCAAAGCCAAAGAAGTGTCTCAGCGGTGCCTGTGTCTTAAGCTCTTTTCTCCGCCCGCCTCTGCCTTGTGATGTTGGTTACATGTTCACAACAGAGAGAGCCTTCTTGGTGGTGGTTCCTGCTTTTGGATTGCCTTCACAACAGGACCATGACAAATGCTGCCATAATCAGTCTGGCGAAACGTCTGTGTTTGCCCAGGCATCTTAAAATATGTTACATTAGTCTACTCTGGTTAATTTGGTTGCCTTTACTTGTTTCATGATGACGGTTGATTGTTTTATTTATTTTATTGTGTTTTATGACATGTTTGATTTTATTCATGCCTATTGTATGCAGTATGTCTGCAGATTATGTGGGGGTTACATTCCAGCAATCGTTCCTAAAGCCAAAGTCACACATGGTGAAAACACATTGGGTTCAATGGCAGCTGGGATTGCCAAAATCTTTTTTCCCAGGCACCCGCCTCCTTTCTGCCTCCTTTTTTTTTTTTTGGCCAAGTGCATAAAGCTGTATGCACAAATTAAGTGTATGTAAGTTTTAGGCTTACTGTACTGCCTTGTATCTGCAAGGATGAAGCGCAATCTAGAAAGGCTTTACATAAAATCTAGACTCTCCTCTTGACATATGATTCCAAGTGCTGGTACATATGATGGTGTCTGGAACTAGTAGAAGCGCCAATTGTCACCCGTTCTTTCTAAGCAATCCAGAAGCCTTCACCCAAGGTAGCATTTTTGTCTGGGAAAACACTATTCTCTCTCCAGATAGTGATGCAATTGCTAGCTGTATGCAGCGTATTGAGGTTTTGTTAATGTTTATGCACTTGGATAAAGCCTGTGGCATTGATAAACTCTCACTTGTCCTTCCTTAATTTTTATAAACATGGTAGCTGAACATGGGAGTGCCTTCCTTTGACATATGTCTTAATAAAAACTAACCTAGCAACAACTCCTGCACCAAACCTCCTTGCACTGCTATGCACAACGTCTTACGTTTTAAATTTTGTGCAATATGAAAGGCTACTGTCAAATTATGCTCTTGCATTTTCCTTTAAGTTAAACAAAAGGGTTAAGGCATATGATGAGAAGACATTGTAAACTTCAGGTTTCTAGATCTCGTCAACCCTTTAGGTTTTGCAGTCGGTTGCTGTGAACGAGCTTCGTTGTGTATGATCTATTTTGGCTGGTGCTCACGGTATTCACAATGAGTTCATCAAGGCAGCATAGGAGGGAAGTTTTGAAGAACGTTGCTTGAACATATCACTAAGGAAACTTTAACAATGGAGTTTTGTAAGATGAGTATTTGAATGTAGAGCTCACCACTTCTTGGGGGGCATTTCCCTTTAAAACCCACTACTGCAAGTGCAGGGCCCCTTTTTGGCTCCATGGGTCAGATCTTTATTTGGATCAGCCTCACAGGCCAAATTTGACAGGTGTGGGGAGTGACCTATGTGTCATTCAACTGACATCACAACAAGATCAGGTGCAAGGTGCTTTGAAATCCCAAAGTCAGGACTTCAAAGCACCTTGCATGCTGCTGCTGAAACAAAGGTAGTTCTCCCTTCATATTAGCAGGTGATTTCATGCAAACCCTTTCTGAGTCAGGAAGGTATCTTCATGGAAACCCCTGCTAAAAGTATTGGCACTCTTTTGGAAGTGGGCTCTTCCACCAAGCCTTCGGAAGGCATATTGTTCTTTCTCCATGGAGAATAATTTCTACATCAGAAAAAGTAACCCGTGAGGCGACTCTTGTGCCCATTTGAAATTACTGACAAATAATTCTGAAAAGAAAACTGAACAGTGAGCGTGAAATAAATAAGTAAATGAATACGGAGCTGCTGTTTATTATTCATAACGGAAGCCATTTGGTTAAATTAACAGGTCACAGGTTTATAACAAGCCAAAATAAGTACTTGCAGAGCTTTATTATGGATGTCTTTGATCTTATGTTGGCATCTTTGGAATTTAAGTGAGGGCTGGTCAGATTCAAAGAGGAATAGATCGTGTAACGTGTTCCTTCACATGGCTGGAAGAGGTGGGTTGTATCCAAAACTATCAATATGTGAGTGAAAGAAACATCTGTTTGCACGGTGAGACTTCATCTTTGTCTCCTCTTCACACTTTTACAACTTTCAAAATCTCCAACAAGTTGGGAGGACCCTCTGGAGCAGATTTTGGGGTCATGAGTGACCTCTGATGTGAGGAAGGTGGAACCCTGTTGCAGGAGCTGAAACTGGGTCCATCAGTCTTGGATTCCACCATATGTGCAGAATATCTCCACAGCACTGATTACTGGGAACTCAGAGAAAACAGGTAGGAAAGAGCCCGCTTAACCTGAAAACAGCCCTGTGAATTCTTAGAAGCTTTGGAAGCATCTTGGGTTGCCTACTAAGAATATATGGATCTATTTGCAATGTTTAGGTTGCCCTCATCCTATTCAGATGTTTTCCCCCCTCACTTGATGTTGGGAGTAGGCTCCAGTTTTGCATTCTGCCTCCTCTGTTCACCAGATCACAGGGAGAAGCAATTTATTAGAACCAAAAAGGTATTATCTCAAGAAAGACTGAACACACATTCCTGTGCATGTTTTTCTCAGAGATCACCCTTCATTTCAATGGAACATACTTACACTATTAAGCCTTTTAAGGGACTGGGAACTGGTGGCTCAACAGGTGTTGTTGAACTCCAGTTCCCATCAGCCCCAGCTGGCATGGCTAGTGGTCAGGGATGATGGGAGTTGAAGTCTAAGAACATCTGGAGGGCTACAGCTTCCCTGTTGCTACCGGAGGATACGTGGAGATATTTTTCAAGAGAGGATTGTTTTTCAGCTTAAGGTGCCTAAGGCTGCATATACAACATACATTTAAAGCACATTACTTTCCCAAAGAATCCTTGGATCTGTAGCTAGTTAAGGGTGCTAGGAATTGTACCTGTGTGAGGGGTAAGCCATCGTTCCCAGGATTCTTTGGGGCAAGCCTTGTGGTTTTAAATGTATGTTGTGTGCACAGACTTAAGTTCTCAGTGTGTTTAATTTTTTTTGGACATACGTCCTAAACTTAAAAGCAACTGCGCAGTAAGACATACTACCAAAGAATGGAGCTATATACACACTGGCAGTTATTAAGCTATGACAGAAGTCTCTTCCAGGGGTAATATAGGTTGTCAACCCCACAGTAGCACTGGGTGTTGAATCTTATTAGTTAGAATACCAGCCTTTCCCCTCCCCCCTTCTAGCATATTAGGTTCCTGAATTATTTGCTTTTCCACTTCATTCTTATACAAATAGCGCGGGAGGTATTCATGCTCTCCTTCATCCTCAGTATCCATTTGAAGCCCTACTCCCCTAGGCCCTAAGTTCAAGGGGTTCGTCCTGATGTACAAAGCCTTATGCAACTTGCATACAGGGCACAAGAAGCTGCTTATACTGAGTCAGACCGTTGGTCCATCCACCTCAGTATTGTCTACGCTGACTGGCAGGGGCTCTCCATGGTTTCAGACATTTTATCAGGAGGTCCATTCCTCACAGTGTAGGAATTGGGCCTTCAAGTGTGACAGCATCTCCCCTGGGGAATTCCACCCCACGTCTCCATGGGGTGTCTTTTTCTCAATAATCTTTATGCATGTTGAAGACCTTCCTTTTTCCAACAAGTTTTTTAAATTAAGATTTTCATCCTAGTCCTTTTTGGTGCCACACCTGAAATTGTTTTTGTGCATGGTTGTTGTTTTAATTGTTGGTGAGTTTATTGTGAAATTGCTTTGGGATCTTTAATGGGGAGCGATTCATAAATGAAGTAAACAGGAAAACATCAGGGAAAGTATTGAGTGTTTGTGTTGGCTGTTCTTACTGGTGGAATGCAGGAGGTACAACTTGACCTGAAAGGGTAGATAGATCCTTCTGCTGTAGAAGCTCTCTTGGGCTGCTTCAAACACTTCTTTTGGCAGGGGTAATACTTGTGTAATAGAAAGCTATTTGGTATTTCAGTGGATTCCTCAATAGGCCCGTGAAATCTAAATGGCGTGATAGGCTTTTCCTAATCTAGAGTCATGGGAGCAGCTGCATTTGCAAATATATCTGAACTGGCTCATAGTCAGAGGCGGAATTCCCATCTTACCCCTGAGTGGGTCTATTCCACTCAAGGGATTATGGGGGTTGGACATCCTTCCTGCTACAGTTCTTCTTGCTGTGTCCCTGAAGTAAATGGATTTGAAAACAGAGGCAATGGAAGGAGGATAGTTGAGTGGCCATAGATCAGTGTTAAAGCTGAAGGGTAGGAGCTGTAGCTTAGCAGTGTTGAGCACTTGGTTTGCCAGCATCAAGTCTTTGGCATCTCAAGTTAGAAGGAACTCTGCTGGCATGCTTGGAGAGCCCAAGGCCTTGAAACACTGCTGCCAGTCAAAGTAGGCCAGCTTTCCTCAACCTGGCGCCCTCCCAGGTGTTGCTGAACTCTCAACTTCCATTAGCACTATCAGTATAGGCAGTGATCAGGGATGATGGGGGCTATAGTCCCAACAACACCCAGAAAGCATCGTGTTGTGAAAGGCCAACAGACACTATATTGGTCTACAGAGATATATGGGCTGACTCAGTACAAGAGAGCTGCATATGAATTCTTGAAGGGGTGCATTGTCAGGTTTCCTGTAAATTTACCCAAGGGGGGAGGAGCTGGCTGTATGCAATTAATCCCAAAGGGGAACATGGGTCAGTGCTTGTCCCTTGGGTTGCAGAGGGCAAATGCATTTTTGCGCTGTACTTTAAAACGTGACAATGAGAGAAAACCAAAGCTATCTGTTTCCTAGGAAGGAATTGTAGGAAAAGCCAGTATTTATTTTTTTTTAGCCAGAGTGCAGAACTGGCACCTCTCAGGTGGATGCTGTTGTGAGCCAGGAGTTTCCCTACCCACTTCTTGCCATTATGTACTTATGAGAAGCCCAGAATTTCAAATCAAAACAAAAGCTGACCAGTGGGTGCAAGTCTACACTTTTTTTTTAGATCTATGACTCCTCCTAGTTCCTAGCCACAATTAGCCACAATTGGTGGGACCAATTCATATTTCCTTTTCTTCAATCCGCCTTGTGTGTAGTGGCAGCTGGCTTAAACTTTCCAGCCAGGCCTCTACTATTGCATGTCTATGCATTTGCGCAAGGGCCATTCCGAGCTGCCCTACTCACCTGCCTGAATCTAAGAAAACGAGGGAGGTGGGGTGCATTTATTTGACCTTCACCAGAACCACGGGCGACCCCCTAATCAGCTAGGGAGACAGCTTGCCGTAGTTTTTAGCACCTCCGTGAACAGGCTGTTGTCAAACCTGCATATGTTCAGGGCTGTCCTGACTTGCCTTACTGTAACAACTTTGTGGTGAGTTCCAGCACCTATTTTTCTTGGGAAAAAAAGCACTGGGAAAAACCTTCCTCAAAAATACGCTTTCAGTTTGCTCACTTTTGCTTTTTGAAATAATAGTTTTAGGAAATGAGCATTATTAAGCAGTGTTCCTCCAATATCTGCCTTAGAGGGTCTCGCAGCCCCACATAGCAGATTTGAGGGTGCTCAGATACACTCAGTGGGGGGTTACAGCCCATCACAAGCTCCATTGCTCAGAAGGAAACTATGGTCTTCATTGTGGAAGTCTCACCTTTTTTTTGGAGGGGGGGTGAGAAACCCTCTTGCAATCCACTTATTCCAAGACAGGCACTTAAGTGCGTTTGATTTTGTCCTTAAGAATGAACTTCTGATGACTCTATTTTCATTAATAATGATCCATGGCTGATAAACCAGTGGCAAGATAATGACTTTACTATGTAAAAATAAAAATGCATCATTAAAGCACACTCATTCATCTACATTCTTGGTATAAGGTTGGGCTGCTTTAAAATCTTTGATTGTTGCTTTAGAGGCAAGTACCCATTTGTCGTTTGAGTGAACTGATGTCCCTAAAGTAGGAGTTATTCTGGCATTCTGCAGTTGCATAGGAGCTACAAGAATGGATGGCTGTTCAAAAGCAGTTCTTCCTTTTTTTAAGTTGATATTGACAAAACCCAGGAAGCATTAAACCAGAGGTCATGGCAAAACGCTTACGCTGTAGTCTCTGTGATTGGGGAGCCTAAATATTTATCCTGGTCTGTCCCTAATGAAAACAAATTGTCAACAGTTGTTCAGTAACTGACTAAATTAAAATCTGTAATTAGTCAATTAGATTAAAGAGTTGGCACAACCTGATTGTATCATGCTGGTTAGGTTATTAAGAGAAAGGGTGTGATTTTTAATTACTGCATGCTAATTTTGACAGTTTCAAATGGAAACAGACGTTCCCCCCCACTACCCCCACCCCACGATGTGCTGCGTTTTTGTGAAATAAGGCAACAAAATGTAGTTTACTCTCAACAAAAGACCTGAAGTTCCTTCTCTCTAAATTCAGTGAGAGTTGAATTTCAGCTGGGAAGTCCCTTGGATAAGGAATGCAGAGTGGGGTTATTAAATTCTGCAATTACTATTTTTAAAAAAGTCTATTGACAAATAGGGTATTTTTGCTGTAAGTGTGAGGGCTGATACGTCTGTTTTTGCAGAGTTGGGATGTTTTTGTATTTGTCTTAAGGAAGTCTGGGCTGTAGACTTTGCAGATTGAAACCCTCAGTAACTGCAGAACTTGTTTGGGGCCAGCAGAAGCATTGTTCTGGTGAGGATAGAGAGATGTGGAAAAGTCGGGTGTCTGTGTATTGGAAGCTGTGTTTACGATAGATCCATACACTGCTTGCAATCTTGTGGGTGTTGCAAAGAGCACTTCCTGACACAATGACTAGAACTCTCTGGTCGACAGAGGTCTGCCTTGGCCGTTCCCTCTTTCCCCCTTTCTTTGTACTCTTTTGCTTGTTGAAATCACTTGTAATCTGCTCTTGGCATGGGCCGCTTGTTAAAGAGGGCTCCCCCCCCCCAGGCTAACGGATGTGTAGCTCTGAGATGCTAGTGACACAGAAGTGAGTCATCCCCCCTCCCAATTCTTCCTCCTCTTTACCTCCCCCCCCCACTCCTTATTGTGCAGGCTTGGATCACCATTAGAAAAGGGAGTGAAGGTGGTATTTATTTATTTTGGGGGGGGCAGTGTTGGGAAACAGAGCCTTTTGCTGCAAGTGTAAAAGGCTCTTTATTTTTCTGCAAGATATGCTGCTCGTCTGCTTCTCTCCATGCCCCCGACATATGACTGCAAGCAAAATCTGGTGTCTGGACTGCATGGGTTGTGGATTGGCCTCCCGGGTGCACTGAGTGTGTTGGGGGTGGGGTGGGGGTTGGTGCCTTTGTGCTGTGATCCCCCCCCCCTTCTTCCTCAGAAAGAATAAAGGAGGGGGGGAGAGAGAGAGAGAGAAGTTTTGTCTTTGAAGGGGTGTGTATGTGTCTTTAAGGGGCTGACAGATTTGTAGCTCTGAGTAAATACAAACCTTGTAAACCTTCCTTCATTTCCTTTCTGTGGTCCTTTCTGAGGAACAAAGAAACTCAAAGCAGTTCACATACAAAAGCTAGGGGAGACTTCTCCCTCCACTGAGGAGCAGTCATAACAAGGGCTCCTACCCCAACAGCAAAGAGAGGAGAGATTTTTGTTAATAGGGAGAAGAATTCAGGAGAAATGGTTCTTTGCAGAAGCAGGCAATTAATGAATTTTGCTAGGCTGGTGCAACATGTGTGACTCTGAGTAGGGCTTTCCTGTTCTGTTGATCATTTCCTTCCTTACCTTGGAAGCTTGGATTTTATCCTACCTTTTTGTAAAGTACTTTATGTGTCTCATTTAAAAGCAGTCTCTTTTGATCTCCAGATAACAACGGTTTATTCAGTTTTAGGAAAACTTGATATTTAAGTCCGCCTGAAGCTTGCACTTCAGTAATGGCTGCTTTAGAGGGATGAAATGTAGTATTTGGGCAGATCAAACTTCAAATTATCTAAGACTGCTTTGTTTACAGGAGTTTTCTGGGGTGGTGGGGTCTGCAACAGGGTGCAACATTCAAATAGTCAGAAAATCTTGGCTTCATCCAAGGGGGTCATCTAGAAAGGAAATACTGACATTTGCAAATATTAAGGCATTGGTTGCAGAGATCTCTAGAACAATTTGGTTATACTTGGGGCCCACTGAGATGAACAAGGAAGATTAGACATTGACTAATTAAGGCCCATTGAGTCACACAACTTAGTTTGGATCCCATCCTTGACACTTAAAACTTTGAACTTTTGCAGCAGAAGTCAAGTTGTATATGTTGCAACTCACGGATGCAACAAGTAGTTGCTCATCTTCTTGGGGGACGTGGTAGTGGAGGAGGGACCACGACAACGTTAATATAATACACTAAGAAGCACCTTCTAAAGCTGAGAAAAAATTGCAAAACATACAAAAGTTTAAATACTAAAATAGTTGGTTTATAAAGTTAAAACTTTTAAAAAGATTATTAAAATTTTGTGGTCTGCGAAGCTCCATGCCCAGCTGCCTGACCTACCACCATCATACTAAAATAGATTAAAATTACCTCGACTTTCTAAGCATTTGGGGAGGCTTATCTAAAGAATGCTTTTAGCAGACATCGAAAAGAGTAAAGGGAAAGGTGCCATCTTGATCTCAACAGGCAAGGAGTTCCAAAGTGCAGGTGCTGCCATACTAAACTATTGAGTTCTTACAAACGTAGAACCGGTATTAAGCGGCACCTGTAGTAGTGGAAATACTTGGAAAAATATTATTGAGATTGAGATTGCTAGATCTTTCATCAGAAATCTTAGAGAACCCGTATGGGTCTTTAGGGCTTAAAGATCCATTTACTTAAATTTGCATATGAATAAAACCAAGCATTTTGAAGGGCCAACTTTTTTTTAAGATGAAGCCTGCATGTGTCACTGAAGACACCATTTTAGGAGATGCATTCCCTCTTTTTACTGTCAGAAACAAAGAAATAAAAAACAATGGTGCTTGTCACTTGTGATGTTTGTATTTGTTTTCAAACTAATTAAAAAAACACTACACACTTAGCTGAGGATACCATCTTAATTGACCAGAGATTGCGCATGTATTAATAATTAACCAATTAATTGGCTAAACATTGCAGTCCTATAGATCGCATGTGAAATATCATTTTATAGAAAGAAAATGAGAGAGAGTGGAAGATAAAGAAAGACAACCTCCTCCTGGAAGTTAAGTGGAATGGTGAGGCACTACTGTCCACACGTGAGGTTTTGTGACTGAGTTTTCTAGGTCAGATTATCACATGTTGAGGGGCCAAGGGAATGAGCTGCAACATTTAAATGCAAACTCATTAAGTTTGTTTTTTAAGGGACAGATGGTACAATAACCAGTAGCTTTAGCTGTTGCCATTTGCAGCAAATGGTCTCCAAATTCTTGTCATGTATAAGCAGATAGCTTTGGTAAACACACACAGTGGACATGGGGCAGTCTTTCGTTGTAGCCGAATATCTAAAGGAAACGGTATTAGAACCTGAAATTATTCACAGGAGCGTTTGGCTCCCGTCTTGGCTGCTTATGAAATAAGTTTTGGTTTGTTTACTTACTGACTCAGTATACAGTTTCTGAAAAGAGATAGCAAATTTGAAGCCAGCCATGCTCCTTTCCCATGAGTCAGCAAGTGTGTCATAGCTGCCATGGTTGGGGTAAGATTCAGATAACATCTGCTGCTGCTGGCTGGCTCCTTTTATCAGAGCTGGCTGCAAAACCTGCTCCTCAGGTTTTGAGTAAACAGACAACAAACACATGAATGTTGCAACCAGACAGCATTTTGAGGACCTGGGGCTGGCTTTCTAATTGGGTTGAAACCACCATCATGCCAGTAGCAGAATGCACCGAGACAAACACCCAGGCCTTAATAAATATATTTTAATTGGGGGTGGGAAATGATAGCGATTACAAATAGTCTTTGTCTAACAAGGCCTCTTTTCTGGAATTTGGGTGGCCAGGTGTCACAGCAGATCCAGAACCCAGGATGTGGGTGGAAAGGGAGAAATGTTGTCTGTGTGTGGCTTTCTCTCTCTCCCTCCTGTTTCAACCGGGAAACACAAAAGACGAATGTGCTGGCGGACTCGGAGATGCGCTGTCTCTTTAAGCTGAAATGGCTGTTGGTTTACTGCTAACTGTGGGGGAGGGGAGATGCGTTATACCCTGGTGACTTGATGATAGGGAGGTCCGTGGCAAGCTCTCAGCTTAAGCCCTGACACAGCAGGCTGGGAGGAGCAAGGAGGAGAAGTAGCCGCTGCCTTGACAATTCAGCACACTTTGCAGCTAGCTAGAGGCGGCCTCGGCTCTTTGTTGGCGGCGGCGGCAGAGCTCGGGTTTCTTCCCTGACCAAGAAAGTGAAAAGATTTGGGCTGCAGTTCACTGGGGAGGGAGAGATCAACCCTGTAGGAAACAAGCCTTTCGGGTTGCAAACAGGCCCCCGAATGCCACTCCTGAAGGCAGCGAAAGCAGTTTTATTTCTGGGGTTTAGGGGCGAGGTTAAGCCCCCCCCCGACCCCCAAATCCATTATGTTCTGTGCCTTCCTCCTCTTGCAGATGGGGCTGAGTGGGTTTTAGAGAGATCTGGGGGGCGGGGGTGTGCTGGTCAGTGCACGCTGAGCCTGGCTCTCTTGAGGGTGCTTTTCAGCAGCCATGCAATCGTAGGTGACAAGGAGTTGACCTGAAGCGTTCTGTATCCATGGGATTGTATGCAGGCGAGTGAGCTGGATGGTGAAAAATGGATGGAGGGCCCGATCTCCCATCTGCACCCAGGGCTGACACTGGGCAGGGTAGAGGTACAGTGGTACCTCGGGTTAAGTACTTAATTTGGAAGTCCATTCTTAACCTGAAACTGTTCTTAACCTGAAGCACCACTTTAGCTAATGGGGCCTCCTGCTGCTGCCGCGCCGCCAGAGCCCAATTTCTGTTCTTATCCTGAAGCAAAGTTCTTAACCTGAAGCACTATTTCTGGGTTAGTGGAGTGTGTAACCTGAAGCGTATGTAACCCGAGTTGCCACTGTATAGAAATCTAGGGTGTTGCTGTAGGAGGGATGGAGCCCCCCTCCCCCCACGAGGCTGATAATTTATAAAAAGAATTGTTTTCTTTGCACAATAGTAGCGTTTATTTACATGGCCATCTTAAGTCCTGTGCTCTTGTCTATTTCGCGGGGTGGGATGAAGTAGCTACCCCGAACACCCTGTCGCCATGAAGGTCAGCCATGTGTCACTCTGCTCTTCCGGCTGCCACCGCCGCATATGTGATGTTGACACACAAATAGCTAGATGAAAACAGGCAGGTTTGGGCTGCCCCCCACAATTTCTTGCAATAGCAGGTTCAGAGGTAAATCCCACAGGGGGGGTTGCATTTTGTTGTGCCATTTAGAGGCTGAATTTTATATGGCTCCACAGTTGTGGCAGAGCAAAGCTTTTGACCGTTAAAACAAGTCTTCGTTGGTAACAACTGCAGAAACAAATCTTCATGTATCTTATCTGTTTTTAATTTAATTTTATTGAAATACAGAGGTGAGGGACTTTGGTTCACATCCTGGACTGGTGGCCTTCTGGGAAGAGAAGGCAAGTTTTGAGTTTCCTTGGTGGCCTGTCAGCAAAATGGCAATAGCAATGTTTAACGGGAGTGCTTCAGGAGTTGACTATAGATATACAGTGAGTCAGGGTAGCAATTGGAGTGTCAGACCCTGACTGCAAGACCTCGAGTTCGAAATGCCATGGAGTTCATCTGGGTGACTTTGCACTCTCAGACTAACCTACCTCCCAGGGGTGTTATGAGGATGAGATAGGTGTGAAGGAGAAACTATGTACATTTCCTTGAGCTCATTAGAGGAAAGGCAGGATATGAATGAATGAAGAGAGAAAGAAAACACAGATATTTTTAGTTTTCCATATAGTATTACTAGATGACTTCTAGATACAGGGCAACCAAGGAATAGGAATATATTTGTTCAGTATTTTTGTTGTCTTATATTAAGCCCCCAAGGGGGCAAATAGAATGCTTAGCAGGGGTGTTCATATGTGCCCTTGAGCATTTGCCACTAAATAGCTGCAACCAGTATTCATGTAGCTGGTGTAAGGCACCCTTACGATCAGAATGCTTGGTGTCCGAACAAATGCTTATTTTAGAAATTTATGGTGAGGGACAGCTTTGGCACCTGTGTCTTCTTGGGCAGTTGCGGGGCCCTTTCACACCATAAGAGCTCACTACTGAGGCGTGCCCTGCTCCCCATCAATTCTCAGAGCAGTTTAATAATCCATCCCTCTTCGCGCATAACTCCTGAGGAACTGTAGCTCTGAGAGGGAGGGGTCTCCTAACTACTCTCATCAGACAGTGTTAGAAACTGAGATATGCAAGCTAGGAACATAAACTTAGGTTATGGAGTGTCTAGGCGTGCTTTTTTATAACAAGAATACCAAGCTGCAAATGAATGAATCTTAGGTTTATTTTTCACATGGTCCTAGTCCTCATCTTAAGACTGCAAAAAAACAAAGCCATACTTCCCTTGCCCACTCCCCCTAATATTCATATGAAGGTCACTTCTCCGGTCCTTAGAGAGAAGCTGGAAGCGGGGAGGCAGAAAAAGGCCCTCCTTTCCTTCCAGCAGTGGCAGTTTTAATCTGAAATCTTGGGCTCAGTCCTGCGCTCAGAGCTCAGAAGCTGCTCGCACTAATGAAATTGCCTGTCGCAAAGTGCACCTAGGATAATGGGAGTTTCGAACGCTGCTCTCAGAATAATAATAATAATAATAATAATAATATTTACACCCCACACATGTGGCCGGGTTTCCCCCGCCACTCTTAACAAATTATGGTTCCCAGGATTTTTGAGGGGAGAAGCCATGACTGTTTAAAGTGGAAATGAGCACTAAACTTGTGGTAGATTTTCAGAAGTTACTTTTATGTTGTCTGAAATAGCACATAAAATATGGAAATCGCCAGGTAAGGAAACACTGGAAAATGGAATAAAGTGTTGTCTGAATGCAGCCTGTGTCTACAGAACCAGGCCTACAACTAGGTGGAGTGAGGCTGCCACCTCAGGCAGCAGGTCTTTGGCCTTAACCCCCAAGCCACCCCTCTATTTCCACTTCTGTTGGAGGAGAGGCCATATATAATCTGCCCTAAAGAGCAGCAGAGGGTGGATGCTGTTCCATTGCCAGTGTTGAAATCGGGTTCAGCTGCTTCTGTGGGTGGAATGGGGAGGCGCCATTTTGCCCTTTGCCTCAGGCAAGCAAACTGTCCCTGCATTTTTCACCACATAACTTTTTTTAGTTATCACCCTTGCTTTGAACCTGTGATCTGTTGTCCCCCTTCTGTTCTGTTTAATGTTCTAGCTGGGGGGGGAATGAAGGTTTGGGGTTTAATCTCTGATTTGGAACGGAATAGGGAGGGTAACTGATAGGGAAAGGAAGGTTTTGTACAGAGGCACTAAGCCCTCTTTGGATCTGTAGGACTGGCTGCCTTCGTTACTCTTTGTAATTCATGGAAATTGCCATGAAAAGACAGATGGTTTTTAAAAGTTGACTTCTGTCACTGCTTTATCTGTTGGGGCTCCGTCTCCCTTCTGGAGAGCAGCCTCAGCTGGTTATAGGCAGCGGTGATGGAAGCCGTAGCGGTACAAATTGAGGTTATTGACACTATAAGTCTTCACTCTTTTTATATCTCTAGATTTTCTTTTTGGCATATTGATGATTCAGTCCAGACACAGGTTACAGAATCTACATCCGTATACTGTTTGCTCTGAGGCAAAATGCCCAAGTGAGCAATGGGGTTTGTCAAACTGCTTGGTGTGTGTTTTTTAGTTTTTTCCTTAAGAGATACAATGCACAGTTGGTATGTTCAGCATGCAAATAGTTGTACAGTGGTGCCCCGCAAGACGAATGCCTCGCAAGACGAAAAACTCGCTAGACGAAAGGGTTTTTTGTTTTTTGAGCTGCTTCACAAGATGATTTTCCCTATGGGCTTGCTTCGCAAGACGGAAACGTCTTGCAAGTTTGTTTCCTTGTTCTTAACACCGGTAATATAGTTGCGACTTGACTTCGAGGAGCAACTCATAGAACGCGGTGTGGTAGCCTTTTTTTGAGGTTTTTAAAGACTTTGGTGATTTTTGAAGCTTTTCCAAAACTTTCCCGACACCGTGCTTCGCAAGACGAAAAAAACCGCAAGACGACAAAACTCGCGGAACGAATTAATTTCGTCTTGCGAGGCACCACTGTAATATGGTTTGGAAGGTAACTGTTTGGGGCATAAGGATTAGACTATAGAATCATAGGTTTTGTAGCTGGCAACATTTTTCTTGAACACGTTTTGAAAATCTTTTGTGCACCATTTATATAATGAAAGTTTGAAACTTTGCCATGACCATATATTTGGAGGTACTTTGAAAACCTCAGTCTCTGGTTTAGTTTAAAAATATGAATATTTAAATCTAGCTCCTCCCTCCCCAGTAAAAAGGCTCCATTATTTGACAGCCTTGATTCAGCAATGGTTTATTTCACTGATGTGTATGTGGTGTTTGGCACCTTATTTATGAACATAAATAGGGTTCTTTAGTTTACTTGAAAAAACCAAAACTAAAACTTCTGTTACACCTGCATAGGAGACTTGAGCAAGTTGTAAAAAAGCTAATTTGGCAGTCCTCTAGGAAGTAAGAGGCAAAACCATCCTGTGCAAAGGTGTTATGAATGTGCTTTGTCAGTGTAAGGCTGGCTTTAAAAAAAAAATTCAGTGTTTTAAAAGTTTATTTTTTTTAAAAAAAGACTCCAAGATTCTGAATGCAAAATCCATTTTAGTGTGTGGATGTACACGTATGAGAGTTGGTGGAATGTACTTTGTGTGCCTTCTGCTTTGCTTGAACCCAAGGACCCTTCTCTGTGCCATCGGCCACCTCTTCCATTCCAAAAGAGAGAGAGAGAGAGAGCTCCATTTTGCACATGGTTTGATGGTACTGTTGGCGGCGACCGGCCATGGAGCATTTTTAATTTTAAGCGTGAGTGTGGCAATAAATCTATGCCTGCTATGCTTGTTAAAATAACCGCCTTGGCTTTAAAAGTAATATGAGGATGGGTATGAAGGTTGAAGGGAAGTGCTGATGAGATAGTGCAAGTCTGTGTGTGTGTGTGTGTGTGTGTGTGTGTGCACGCTCTCTCCGGTGTGTTTGCAGCAGCATGGAGGGTTGCCTAGGCCTGAACAATAGAGAGGTAGCTGCAGCTTGGGGAGTGGAGGACCTAGAGCAGATGTAGAGCAGCCAGGCTAGAATGTGGAAGGAGGTGGGGGAGGGCTTATTTGCATAACTGATTGTTGCCCTGGGGATTAAGCAGGGGGAAGGGAGGCAGTGGGAGTACAAAGAAAAACACAGAAGATGAAGAATATTTCTCTCTCTTCCCTCTCTCTTTCTCGCTCTCTCTCTCTCCCCCTCCCCCATTTCCCTTTACAAGTGCTCTGTCAGTTCTCCTGTTGGGTGCTGGCTGTTGCCCACGCAGCTCACTCATGCCATCCTGCTGACATACACTTCTGCTGGGTGCATCGCCCGGTTGTATTCCATTCTTTTTCTTTCTCTCTTCCCCCCTTCTTTCCTCGCAAGAGAGGCAGGAGGGAGGTGCACGATGAAGAGATGGAGAGGTGGAGGCCCAGCATCGCCAAGGGATGGGTGTGTTTTTTTATTTTAAAAAAAAAACAGCTCCTGATGCCTGCTGTAAAGGCAATGACTCGGCAGCCTGTAATGTTAAGATAAAGTCCAAAGGAAGACCTCTGGCTGTGTCATGAGCGAACTCTCTATGCACCCTGCAATATTTGATCTTGTGCATTGAAAATTAGCTAGGCTTTTTTCTGTCAACTCTCTTTCTTGCTTTTCACTTTTCTTGCTGTGCCTCTTTTTAATTGCGCGCGTGCATGTGTTTTTGTAAAACTGTTTGCGTTTTGGTTGAATGTAGACGTTTCTAATTTATAAAGAGTTACTGCTTTCTGCCCTCACGCCTTGGAGCAAAGTATATATATCTTTAAACTACCACTGTCTTGCCTGCTATGCTTGTATGTGAATCCTGCCTCACGGGGGTGCAAAAGCAAGCTCTATCATCCGGCTCCTTAAAAAAAAAAACTTAAATAAAGTCAAGCTGTCAACACAGCGCAATGTGGATGAACAGTGTTGCTTAACTTTGCTCGCACCCTGGTGTGTGGCTTCTGTATTTATTCTAAAAGATGCTTCTGAACTGTAGCTTAGTTGCACAGCAATTCATGGGGAAGTTGCAACCAATTGAACTTTGATGCTGGCGTTTTCTATTTATTTGCCTATCGGGCACAGGTGTTAAAAGTAAGAAACTTCCAGGTTTTCTGCTAGCAATTGTGCAAAAGGCCTAATAGGCTTCAGGCTATATATAGATGGCATATTGTTGGATTCTTATGAAAATGCCAAGCTCTATTTGCTGTGGGGTCTGCTGGCATGCATTTGGGGGGGCGGTGTAATTATTTTTACACAGTCCAGTATGTAAGGGACTTGCATTGTAAATAGCCTATTCTTGGTACTTTGGCAGTTGGTAGGGCTGCTTTTGGAAATCAGGCCTGTGTCTCCCCATAGGTTTTCCTGCCCCATAAGCAGCAGGCACTCAAGTAGAGTGTCAGTGGAGAAGCTTGAAGCAACACAGGACATGGGCACAAGGAGACTGGATTAGTGTGCTGCATCCCCCAACTACAGCTCTGCTTCTGCTGCAGCGTCTTATCCAGGGGAAGTTCTTTCAGCCTGGGGGCCACAATCCTTTTGAGCAGCGTTCTGAGGGCCACATGTCTGTGGTGGGTGGGGCCAGAGCTGAAAAGCGAGCCATGCAACAGTTGTGACTTTGGTGCAGTGGGCTGTGCACCTGCCATACAAAGGCCAAAGGTTTCTGCATGCTGAATCTTCTCATTCTGCATTCAGACAAGCAAAAGGCTTAGTCACAGTTCAAGAGCACATTCCATCTAGACAAAAGCAGCTGAGGAGAGAGTATGCAGCATAGCTGGGGTCACATGGAGCAGGCTCTTGATTAGCAGAAACCAGACCAGCTCAGGGGAACCAGGCCTCTTCTCAGTAGGTCTTGCCCCTATGAGGCAGCTGCAGAAACTGAAGGTCCCCTCTGACAATACATTGTCATCCCACCACCACTCCCCGGGCTCTGATTCTTCATCCCTTGGGGGTTCCCCAGCTGGTGCCTTCCACATTCCTTTGTGTCCAGTCAGTCCATGACATCTGGTTGTGCTTGGTGGCCAGGAGGGGACTGGAGGAGCCATATTTGGCCACTGCTCCTGAGGTTCCCCCCTGCTGAAATAGCTTCACCTTAACATATATTGTGGTCCTTCCAGACCCTTCTCGAATGGTAAGCTCTCCATTGGTCACACAACCCTGGAGCTCTCTTAATAAGGATGATTGTTTCTGAGAATGGCGCCCTCTGTATTAACCTATTCATATGCTGCTGCATTTTATCCTGACTTTGTGAAGGTCTGAAAAGCTGCCATGATCAATTCCATATGAGTGCCCTGTTGCTCACCCCATGCACCTCCGTACGAGTTGTGCTGAGCTAATGCATTGTAGACCACTTGGATAAACTGAATGAAAAGCAGTTCAGAAATCTTGAATGATAAGCACAGTGTCCCTTCATGATCCTAAGCTGCATGGACATGGACTATTATTTGTTCAAACTGGGCTTCTGACTTCTGGAATGTATACAAAATGACTGCAGGAGGCCACCTGCAATGACATTTAGCACCTCTTGTAATCACATGGAAATATTCTTCCAGTTAATGAGCCAGATCCTGCATCCTCCTTCCCTGGTATCTTCTCAACCTTTCCTGGTATGTTCCTCAGTTTCAACCAATCATGACTCCCCTAGTTTGTTTGTTTGTTTGGTTTTGATTAGGATTACATTCAAACACATAATGCTTTTGCTTGATGTTGCTGTCTTGAGCTATGGGAGCCAAACGTGGTTAGTCTTGAGTGGTACTCATGGGAATGGGCTTATATGTTACTTGCTGAACTTTGTTGGCAGAAGAATGAAGTAAAAATATTTAAAATCAATGTGTTGTTTGCAGTGAATATACCTGAGATTTTCTCAACAAACTACACAGTAGCCAAGAATGACATATATCTCCCTGGAAGATCCCAGTTAACTGAATGGAAAAAAGTTGTGGGGAAAGGCCGAGAAGAATAGAGGGGGTTCATCTTATGTCCTTGCAGATCTCTATTTGCATGTTTGTCATTTGCACTATATACCCAGTTGAGTAGAACAGGGAAAACCCTTATTTTTCATGAAAGTTTTTCAAGTGGCTTGTCTGTTTCTATTGCTCCTTTATCTAAACAGCAACCCTAAGTCCTTTGTGCCACTTTATCTGTGTCCCAGGCTTGATGTTTCCTTGCTGGTGGAAGCATTAGGTGGGGATCAGCAGAAAACCAGGTTTACTAAGATAGACAGATACTGATGCTGCTTATATGTATGCAAATAAACAAACTGTCCGGTGAAAGTTTGTTTCTTGAGTTCCTTGACTGTATGGTAGGCAGAATACAAACAGCTTGCTTGCAGGAGTAAGTGTGTCTCTGTAAGTGGGATTTTGAATATTGGTATGTTGTAGATTTTAATCCAGGGTTTTGGAAGCCTTTTTACCCCAAGGGCCACAGGGATAGTGGCCAAAATCTGCAGGTTGCTCACCTGTGTCATTAATCCCTTTTTCAGAGGTCAGGAATGATCAGCTGATAAAAGTTGCAAGATTTCTATCAGGGACCTCATTGAATGCAGTGGTTTCTTGTTACCCGATTATGCTGTGGTGGACCTGGGGGTTGCTGGTCTTGCCTTAGGGAGTTGGCCAAACTTGTGAGTCAAGACACAGGATGGGTACCTGACCTATAGCGGTTCATACCAATGCTGAGAGAGAGGAGGAAATGGATGGGTGACGGGTTGGATAGGAAGCAAGGATGGGTAAGAGTAAAATTGTCTTCCATTTTTCATGTTGAGGTTAAAGGTGTGTCCTGGACCCAGATATGTTTAGGACTGCTGTTCCAGGCCATGATCACACTGACTTTTTGTTTTAGACTAGGTAAACATTTCACGTGCCATAGTCTCCTACCTCTTCTGTTGACATCTGTTCAGCTTTCCTTGTATTGCTTGCATGCTAAGGCACATGTCTGCACCAGGGGCACCATCTAGGATGTTTCTCTGATTTTCTTTTTACTGCTATGGCTTTCTTTTATTTGGCTCCAGAGAGTGTGTTATGTTCTAGGGAGAACCTCTAAGTGTTGCAGTATAGAGTTGTATAGAGGGATCCTTGCCAATGGAAGAAAGGTCCCTCTTTTCATCTTGGAATTTTAAGGAGGCCTGTTCTGAGGCCACATGTGTATTTACCAGAGCATGTGGAAAAACAAGGCCCTGGAAAAGAGGCTTCATTGCCACCCCCCAAGTTCTTCTGTTTGCAAATGCTATATGAGTAATAACCCAATTCCATGAGAATTGATGGAGGCACCGCTTGAAGCATCTGTTCAGGCTTGACCAAGATTCTTTAGCTCTTCTGCTGTTGCCAGCTTTCTGTCAAACATGCTACCTTTGGGGTCAATTCATACTTCACATCTTTGCATGTTCACATGGGATATTATAAGGTATAGCATACAGTACTTAAAATATGTTTTCAGTCTTTTTGTAGAGAGGATTCATCAGTGACATTTTAGATTTATTGGGGACCTACTTGTTTGGTTCCAAACCACATATTGAAATTGAAGCTCTCTTTGATGTTAATGCTACAATGTCTGAATCCTGCTTTTGGTAGCTTAGTGTCCTGACTCCTAATGCCCTCAAGCTTCTCTGGTTGTCTCAGTGTGCCAGTTGGGTGGCACTGCCAGATGATGGGCGCATAGCTGGTTCACAATAGGTTAAGCTGCAATAAAGCCCCGTAATCTGGTTTACTGTCATCGACACTTGCCAAACCAATCTTGTAATTACAGCAGAGTTGTTGCAAAGTACTTTCTGTAGTACAGGAAGGGCCTTACAATAGCACCATCTCTGGAAGAAAACCAAGTCTTCAATTTACTGATCTAAAAGTCTGACCACAAGAAATGGCTATATCATTACCTTCCTGGGTCTCCAGAAAACTCTAACCCTGGATGGATTTGAAGACCTTTTCTTCTGCCATAGCTGAAATCATGCCACCTTGAGGATTCCCCTTCTGAGACTTGCAGCAGGTAGTAAGTTGGTGATGTGTATCTCCTTCGCAGTATGCCGATATGGATTGTTGCTTAATTAGTGACACTGACAACAACCTCATTAGAGGGAAAGATACCCAATGCACTACCTAGGAAAGAACAAACTGCCATCCCTGTATACTTCTCCTGTATCAATTGCACATAGCGTGGGTTTTAAAATAGAGTGAACTGATGCAGATGCAATAAATGCCAGACTTTGGTCACATATATATAGAGCTTTTTTTCTTAAAAAATGTTTAGGGGTACTCTCATTTTCCTACTCCTATTGAAATACTGCCCCTCAATGAGGCCAAGCTTAGATTCACAAAATGTTTAGGGGTATGTGTACCCCTCCGTCCCCTACCCCCTGAAAAAAACACTGCATATATGTGTAGGGATAGCAACCTCATCTTCCATGATTTAAGTTTTAGGATTTAGTATCTTTGTCCATTGCCTTTTGAAAAACATCTCAAACTGACTCTCAAGATATCTCTCTCCCTCCTTCCCTTCCCCTCTCTCTTTGGCTTTGTCCACCATTGTGTGGTATGTTAGCCCTGGTGTCAACTATGTTTAATGTAATTTGGCTTTAACTTTAATGTAGGTCTGCAAACCACCCTCAAACTCTGATTTCAATTTCAAAGCATGGTTTAGAGCTGTCTGTGCTGGGCCAGTGTGTCTATACTAGAAATACCTGTTTGTGCTGCAGTGATGTTGAGAAACTGTTCTCTATATAGCAAGAGGTAGAGCTATCTAATGCAGGAGAGTCATTCATATATATATATATATATATATATATATATATATATATATGCGCACACACACACACACACGCACGCTTAGGAAATTATATATTTAGAAAAGTAGAAGATGGGAAGCAGATTTGAATGCAAATGG